AAAAAAAAAGAAAGAAATTATCTGTGGTATAAATCATGTGAAATAATGGGATTCAAGATAAGAAAGTAAGGGGCTGGAGAGATGGCTCAGTGGTCTAAAAGCACCTACTTAGAACAAGCTTGGCAAGGCATCAGGGACCGCGGTTGGATCCCCCAGCACCACATGCCAGCCGGCCCCGCCCCCTGGTGGGCTGAGCTGGCCACACACACACCACACTCTCTCTCTCTCTCAATAAATAAAAAAATATATAAAAAAAAGATAAGAAAGTAAAAAAACAAAAAAAGAAAGTATGTTTCCTTCATTCTAATGAAACATATTACTTTTGTATGAAATATTTTTACTGCAAAAGCTTGATTCATTAAATATGCTATAAGATTAAATACTTAAATGGAATATGGTTTTTTTGTTCATTCTGGATTTTTTTACAAGTTTTCCCCACAACTATAATTGTGTAACAATGCTAATGATTTTCAGAGTTCCATATGGATAATCCCTTCATGTATATAGGCTAATGGATGATCGTAGGAATCAAAGGAACTAAGGAATGAATCTTCAAAGTTGTGAATAACTACCAGTATAGCAGTATGTCTGTGAATCAGAATCTTTCCTACCTTTGCATTTCTAATGCTTACTAACGAGGCAACTGTAAAAGTAAATTTCAGTTATTGGGAGTATTTACTGAATTATTTCAGATATGGAAGAAAGTGCTTTAAGAGTTAAGTGCTTTTTAGTTGGTTGTTAAGTCTTATTTGGAAACCTTATGTAGAAATCTAAGAGAGTACAGTATAGGGACAAACAAGCCTGTTTCTCCACTGACCTTTTATTACTGGTTAAAGGAGCTTAATTCTTGCTTTTAATTACTTAACTGTATAACAGAATAATTACATTGAAAGCTAAATAAATAAATAAATAAATATAAAGATGAGCCATGGGGCATCTCGAGAGAGAAACTGGACAGTCTGGAGTAAGAAAGAATGATGAAGATTTATGCTATTTGAGGGGGGCCGGGGAGATGACTCAGTGGAATAAGCACTTCCCTGGCAAACATAAGGGCCTGAGTTTAATCCCCTGTTCTGGGGGAAAAAAAAAAAAAAGATTTATGCTATTTGAACTTATCATGTCCCAAGTTTGAAAAAACAAAAAAATTAAAAATCTTTAGAAGCCATACAGCCAGCCCTCAAGGGACCCCAGCAGCCTCCTGAGTATCGCCCGAACTCTCCTTAGCCCAATCCAGTGGTTTGGATGTATCAGCCATACATTCCCATGTTGCCAGCTCATTCCCATGTCTTATGGTAATGATATCCAGAGGCGTGGCCTTTGAGAAGAGGGTTAGATGAGGTCCTGAAGGTGAGACAGCACTAGAGAAAGCAGGTCTAAGCCAGCTGGCTCCCCCTGCGGGCACCACGCACTTGGACTTCACAGCCTCTATGACCATGAACTCAACAGACCTCTCTTCTGTATAAACTACCCAGTCTGTGCTATTGCCTTACAGCAACAGAAAACGGACTAAGACACCTGGGGAAATGGCCCTTTACATTCTGATCCAGCCAATCCAGCTGCCTGCACTCTCCAGGCATCAAGGGTCTCTCTGCCTATTGGAAACCTGGATTATCTGAGGCCCAGTCTTCGTGGCACTGGGTTTTCTCAGCCTCACTACCTTTTGGGCTGGAAGATTCCTTTCCAGCAGTGGTGGAGGGCGCCCTGTACACTGCAGGATGTC